CCTAAACAGACCAAACAACAGACCAAACAACTAAAGGGGAAAGCGAGCATATTAAAGGCCACACCATTTTGGTCTTCATATAATTAAAATGGATTTCCTAATATCTGTGTATCTGTATGAATAGGTTCTATGATTCACGAAAATTTACCAATTGCTTGTCTTAATCCATGGAGCGATAGGTGAGAAGATCGGTTTTAACTATCTATCTATCCAATAACCTAGCAACTAACGTTAGTCCAGATGAGACTAAAACAAGTTTTATTCTGTACATGCCTATTTGGTTTCTGGTGCTCTGAAAGGACGGCAAAAAGAATCCGCAATTACTTTGATTCAGATTCATGTTCCGCGAGTTTTTATTTTAGTTCAAATAATTACTTATACAAGACTAGAGGAGCTTCTCATACATAATGCAGGAAGTTTCGCATTGTAAGTAATCGATAAGCTTTAATTCAACACCTTACAGATAGACCTTGTGGAACGTACCTAGTTCTGTACCTTAATCTAGAGCGTATAGGATAGTTTTCAGCATAGGACTGTTGACTTGATGCATTCCCAAATAGTTCGCCTGAATCGTCAGTGAGAGACGTTATCCTCAGCACAAGGTCATAAATTGTTAAAGTTGATAAATTGTAGCTCTTTGCTAAGGATAGCGCTTGTTATGGACGCTGCCAACGATGTTGCAGGCGAAACATCTGGAAATGTACTAGGTCAACGGTCCGATGGTGTATATCATCATGAATACTATAGTAAAGGACGTAGAATAAGGTGCGTTTTCTGTCACTCCTACCAAGGTGCAAGTAGAAATCGAAAAAAATTAATCCATTTTAATTAGATAAAGTTCTCCGATAATTTATGATAGATGATTATTATGCAACCTCCAAGTCAATGTGTCGGCTTGTACTTTGCTGAATGGGTTAGACTTCGGCCTGAGTAGCGGGTCGTCATATTTAGTTAAATCTAGAGCCTCTTAAATATTAAGATTCAGCATATGCTCTTTCCTATTCACCAATTTGTTTTATTTCTTTGATTCAAGCCAGGATTAATAAAAAGA